GCCCTGCCCAGGGCATCTGCCTGAGTCAGCTGCCAGGTGGCAAGAGGAGGCCCTGGGCTCACCCCCCCATCCTCTGGCACCCACCTGGCCCCGTTGGGCCCCTGAGCTTTAAAAGCTATGGGATCCCATTCAAAGGTAAAACCAGGAAACAATTTGGGGAGCTCGCGGAAACCTCATCTGGGGTATGTTTTGCTGTCCATGGCAGAGAAAGTTGTATGCGTGATGTGCAAAATAATAGGTTTGGGGTCTGAGCATGGGCAACCCCAGAGGAGCCCAAGGCTATTGTTATGGGGCACCCAAAATGCTGTGCTTCTCTTTCAACTTCAGTCTGCAATGGTAGAATTAAGAACTAGGACCTCGGCAGATCGGGGCTTTTCCCCACTGCCTCCAACCATCTCTGCGTCTGCAGAAAATTAGGACAGCTTGAAATGTGCCAGCCCCGTTGGCAATTCCTCAGTCTTCCTTCCAAGGTAATGGGGGACAAAGCCTAACAGGTTTCACCCTCCTTGCGGGTGACCTTGGATGGTCTTGGACGGGGGGGGGTCCATGGGAGGGGGGAACCAATGAAAAAAGCCAGAGGGCAGCTGTGACCATGTGATCAAAGCCCTCCCCTTTTTAGCTCCTTTATGCATGTGAAAAGGGGCAGGGCTTCAACTGTGCAAAGGTGGCTGCCATCTTGACTTTTTTGCCCCGCCCCCCAGAAGAAGGGACATATTTTCTTGTGCTCCATGGAAGTTTAGCTGTGATCATGTAAACTTCTCAAGGGCCTCTCTTGAGAGAGCGGAAGGCTTGGCAGCAGTCCTTGGAGGGTGACCTGGTTTATACGTTGCCTGGTTCCAAATTAGAAGGGTGTCGGACGACCCACGGAGCGTGTTCATGCAACACGTTGCAAAGCTGGATCAGTGTAAGACCCAACTGCTGCATTCACACAACCCCAGACGCTTGCTTAGTTTTGACCTTGGTTAGTTCTGTTTTTTAGGCTTTGGTGAGTCCAGCCCATTGAATTAGCTTATGGTTCAGTCTGTTGAATGACTGAACACCTAGAAAGTGTGTTAAACTAACCAAACACATTTGGTAATTGTAAGCTTAATGAGAGTCACGTTTAGCTTTCCTTTTCTGCCCCCCCCCCAAAAAAACCTTTGACCTGCCAGTGAGTTTTGACTGCATATTTCATCTGTCTCTTATCTGCGGTGGGGCAAAACTCTTTTAGACACGAGACTTTTTCACTAGTGGGGGGCAAAAAAGGAAAAAAAGCCTTAACCAGGCAAGATGAACTCGTCTTGATAAAAAGAAAAGTAACCAAGGTTAACAGGAACGGAGTTTAGCGGATGATGGGAATGCATTCGTTACAACTTTATTGACCTGGTTGACCCAGTTGAATGGATGCAACCCTGATCAGGTCACCCATTTTTTCTTTTCATGGAAAGAAGTGTAGAAAGTAAGTTCCAACTCAATCTAATGAATGAAAACTGACCAACTATCAGGGGTGGGTCAGAACAGTCAAGATGGCAATCACAGCTGGGTGACCTCAGGTAGCCTGTGCTGGTTTAACTGAACAATGAAACTTCAGTTTAACAGACCAGGTAGGGGAGAGGGGCTGTTAAATTGGAGCAGTGTTTCTGAACCTCAACCACTTTAAGATGGGTGGACTTCAACTCCCAGAATTCCCCAGCCAGCATGGCTGGCTGGGGGATTCTTGGAATTGAAGTCCACCCATCTTAAAGTGGTTGAGGTTCAGAAACACTGCTCCAATTCTGGGGAATTCTGGGAGTTGAAGTCCACCCATCTTAAAGTGGTTGAGGTTCAGAAACACTGCTCCAATTAAATTGGAGCAGTGTTTCTGAACCTCAACCACTTTAAGATGGGTGGACTTCAACTCCCAGAATTCCCCAGCCAGCATGGCTGGCTGGGGGATTCTTGGAATTGAAGTCCACCCATCTTAAAGTGGCCGAGGTTCAGAAACACTGAATTAGACAGTACACCACTGCAGTGATTTATGACATTTTGTGTGATCTCGTCATTCAGAAGATCCAAATCCTATCACATCCTTTGCCTGATGACCTCACTGCACTGATGACGTAAATCACCATCCAGTTTGGTCTGTTGGGTGCAAAACGTGTGGCTTCAAGGTCTGATATCTCGAAGTTTCGCTGTTGCCGAACTTGACTCGGTAGAAAAAAGCGCGTGAACATTTCTCTGCCCAGGACTCTTATAAATTCATCCATGCATGGCTTTCGGGCTACAGGCTCTGCAGGAATCCTGAATTTATGGGAGCCCTGGAAGTAAGACCAGGATGCACAGATGCAAACTTTTCAGAGCAGGGCGGGGGGTGGGGGGAAATCATTTGACCTTCTCCTGCCCTGCTCTTATCCCAAGGGAAGAAGGTCTTGGGCTCGGTGGGAGAAGATTCATATGGCGAAACTGCCTGTCAGCCATTAGATATTTGAAGATAAAAAAACTTTACACCGTGCTCAGCCTTCCTACAGATCCAGATTGCGTATAAATATCACTTATTGCCATCACTCTTAAAGCCACTCCCATCAGCCCCCACCGGCATAGCCGCAGCCACTCTGCAACATCTGGAAGAGAGAGATCAGGCTCCCATCAGCCCCCGCCGCCATGGCCGCAGACACTCTGCAACATCTGGAAGAGAGCAGATCGCTGGCTGTTATGTTGAGTTTATCATTATAGGCAACCCATCCAGATCTGGAGGGGCCTCCAACTCCCAGAATCCCAAGCCAGAATTTTGTAACTTCCCTCGAGCAAGGGATTCTGGGAGTTGAAGTCCAATGCAACGGGAAGGCACCAGGATAGGGGTCATGACCTGTTGGAACTGGTGTTGAAATGCAAAGAGTAGCTGTCTTTGGATCTGGGCCCCCCTCCAGAGCAGCTGTGGGTCCTGCTTTCCATAGGATGGATCTTGAGAGATCTGGGGTGACTCCAGTTTAAAGAATCCAAAGAAGAGAAACCAGAAGGTGCTGAGGTCAGCACGTAGCACTGGGACCGTGCCCATGCTGACATACATTTCTATTTAACATGGAGGCAGCGTCCCTTAAATTGGCAGCCATTCAGATTCATTAGAATATGCATGGTATTTTGCCCCCCCCCCCCTTCTCCAGAGAGCTGGGTCTTCAAATAATGTGTCCAAAGTAAGATAACTTGAGCCTGGTCATTTATGCCTCAAGGGAGAACTCTGGATTGGATTTGTCTTCTTGTCTGTCCATGGTCTTCTCAGGGATCTTCTCCAACACCAAAGTTCAAAGGTGTCAATACTCTTTCTATCTTGCTTCTTCAAAGTCCAACTTTTGCTTCCATAGAGTGTCACAGGGAATACCATGGCTTGTATGATTCTGATCTTTGTAGGTACGGAGACATCCTGGCATCTGAATATCTTTCCCAAGGCCTTCATGGCTGCTCTACCAAGTTCTAGTCTGCGGCGTATTTCTTGACTGCTGGTTCCTTGACTGTTGATGGTTGATCCTAAAAGGCAGAAGCTCTCCAACACTTCAATATCTTCATTGTCAGTATATTTCATTTTAATCCCCTTTCACTGGGTCCTTTGGCTTTTATTAGTAGACTTTGCAGATCTTTGAATTTTCAGCTATCAGAGTCGTGTCATCAGCATAGTCAAGGCTATTGATGCATCTTCCTCCAGTTTTAAAGCCACACTCATCTTCTTCCAATCCAGCCTCCCTCAATATATACTTAGCCTCCTGTAACATGTCTGTCTGTCTGTCTCTATCATCTATGTTTATCCAATATATATATTGGATGGGAGACGACCACCAAATCCCAGGATTGTAGGCTAGACTGGGAACCTGAAAGAGTATTCTAGAAGAAGGCCATAGCAAACCTCTTATACAGGTAGTTCCCAATTTAAGAACGAGTGTCATTCCCAAGGTTTGTCCTTAAGTCGAATCTGTATGTAAGCCGGAACAGTATGATTGTATAATACTGTATAAGTCAGTGTTTCTCAACCTTGGCAACTTGAAGATGAGTGGACTTCAACTCTCAGGATTCCCCAGCCAGCAAAGCTGGCTGGGAAATCCTGGTTGTTGAAGTCCACCCATCTTCAAGTTGCCAAGGTTGAGAAACACTGGTATAAGTAGTATTGTATAATGAACTTGAACCATTGTGTATTTAACTTGAATTTTGCTGCAATAGGCTCCATTCTTAACCCAGGGACCACCTGTATATTCTTGGGAAGGAAAGTACATTAATGTGTCCATGAAGTCACCGGGAGTTGAGCTTCCATTCTGTCTTGAAGAGACCCAACCATCTGAATTGGGGCAAGATGGAACAAAGCTGTTGTGGATGAAGCCTGGCACCGCCATCATTTTCCCCCGAGCAGCACAGGAGAAAAAGTTCGGTGAAATGTCAGCAGTGTTTGTACCCTCAGGAGAAGGTACACATCTCGCGACTGCTGGAGAAGCAGAAGCTGCTAGAGGGGCTGGGTGTGGTGCACAAGCTCCATGGGGTCTGTCTTTCAAGTCAGACATCGGCCAATGGACCCACAGGTTTGAATTGTCCCTTGCATGGTTGAGATTTTGAAAAAGAGGTTAGTCCTTTGGCTCTGGTGGTCCCCTCCTGGTCAGGACATCCTTGGTCTTCCATCCTGTGCATATAGTTGTATTTAAGGTTGCCACCAGGAAAATATTGCTGATGGAGCAGAGATATTAAGCCCTGAAATGAAAGCCCATCAGCACTTCAACAGCTTTGAATGGTGTCCATTTGTACACTTCCTGTCAGGTTCAGCCCAAAGAACTCCAAGAGACAATGTAAATACAGTTCTGTTGGGTTTATTAGCTTCCACCTCAAGACAGAATCTCCCCAGACTGAACCCTAGTTCCCAAGCCAGCCAGCCAGCCACAACACCGTGAATTCCTTAGGGAGGTGCCAGCCTCGTCTTCTTGAACTT